GGAAGATGTAAGTAGCAGAACTACTTATAAGTAAATAGCATTTATATAGCAAAAGTGCTTAATGTCCAAGTAAGATATTCTAAAACACATCATGATCAATAATCAATCAATGAATGATTTCAATGCCTGGTGATTGCATATTTGTGTGAAAGATTTTGACGGCAGTTTTACTATTTTTAATTTTTTGTTAAATATATTTTACTATTGTGTCAAATATGTCATTTATAGTATGTAGTTTCTTTTAGTTATTCCTATTTTATTTTAGTTATTTGGGATAATATAACAAAATGAAGGTGTTTCTCTGAAAGAATTTGAAAACAGTCAAAATAATTTATCTCAGAAAAACAGACTGAAAATTAGTTGTCTGATCATCGTAAGAAATTGTGAATAGTTTTTTAAAACCTACTCTTTAACCCTCTAATGACCACAATCCTAAAAATTCAGTTGGCATATGGTGCAAAGCAACAATATTTGTCTCCCCCTTGAACTATTCAACTATAAAAGAAATGGTTGAGCCTCATTTATGAGCAGTCTGTCCTAGGTATTTTTTTTTTTTAAGTGTTTCATCCCAAGCAAGGCGGGAAGCCACTAGCACGCAAGGGGTTACAGAGAATTGGAGTGAGAGCAAATAGGAGTGATAGAGGAGAGGATGAAGAGAAGGATAGGGGATAGATCAAGGCATCTGGAGACGTTGATTGACATTACATTTGAATAGTTGGAGATTATAGCTATCAGGAAAAGGGAAGGGAGTTCCACAAGCAAGAAGTGCAAAACATGAAGCTATTGGAGTAGAAGATAAACTACATCCACGTCCAGGGTATGATGATAAACTATGTCCAACAGCAAGGCCTCTGATCAGGAGATTTTGTGGAGTGTGGAACCACCTCTTAATTGCTAGTGTTCCCAGATCCACCCTGACTCGGGGTGGTAGCACCTGTTAGGGCCCCAGCTATGGGCAAATAGTTAACCCCAAAACCGAGGTAAAAAGCATTATAAAAGTGTAAAAATAGGTTTTGATACCAGAAATACTTTGTAAAAAATTATTACCAGTAATAAATTTTTGAAGAAAACGAAATATTACCAGGAAAAAAAATAATTGTCAGCATTAAATAACCCATGCTGTAAAACACAACAAACCACAAACCATATTTATGAGCAGTAGTCAAATTGCATTGAATAATAATTCAGAAGCTTTAAATGTTCATCTGTTTTTCTTTACAAGACATTAATAGGTTATAATTACAACCTATAATTAATAATTATAACCTATAATAAATGGTTATATCATATAATTTATACTTCATATAGATAATTAATACCAGATTTTTTTTTAATTAATACTGGATTTTTATTTTAGTTTTTATAATTAATACCAGATTTTTAAGGTGGACATCTGCATACAAGGAAGATTGTTTAGCACTGATAGTTTAGTGACAAATGTATTAAATCTGAACTTTATTCTGCTGAATATAAGAATTATTTAATATGTGTTGAACGACTTGTTCAAATCAGCCAAGTCTGAGATGAGGTCAAATTTGGAAAATTACTCTGTGAGGAATGAATTTAAGAACAATGGCTGGTTAGTTAAAATGCTAAATATCACTTCATAGAAAGTGCTTAAATTTGCTGAATAGGTTATATTTATATAGGTTATTTGGGGCAGTTTGCTTCTAGGCTATAACCTATAAGCCTGAAGAGTGTTAAAAAAGATGATGTGTTGATGTCTTCTGGGCATTTATTTTGATTAGGGCAGCGATTTTGGAAAGATATGTGTGAACTTTTTCCAGTAATTCATCACCCAGCCACTTCCCCAATACAAAGCTCCACCCAGAAAAAGAGGAAGATGTTGTACTACTGTCTGCAGAGTGGTTGCCTATGGTAACAATGATGTGTTACACATCTGGCAGAAAGAAGACAGGGACAACAGTTGTTTGGCTCTATCAAGGAGCCACCCTTGGGCGTCGCATGCATATAATGTACAAATATACAGATGACATTTAAACAGAAGAGAAGACATCAGAATATAATGATTATTTCACTAATATTATCTCCTTGATCAAGTCTTATCAAACAAAACAAAGCAAACAAAAGAAATTTTAGACATGTTTATTCCGCAGGTGGTGTATGTCCTTTACACAGAGTCTTTTCTGTAGTGCCTCCCACCTCTACTCTGCCAGTCAGAGATGAGTTTTTTAAACAGGGGAATCTTTTCCATTCTAGTTGTATGGAATGCCTAATAAGAGATTTCACACATATACTTAAAATCAGAAAGAGACAGTTGAAATTTCTGGATGAGAAAAGAGGCTTGGAAAATTTAACACTCAGGATGTTTTGCAGACAAGAAAAGCAGTGGGAAAATGGTGAATAATCAGCATAATGATTTTGTATAAATGAATGGCAAAGTGGGGACAAAGCAAGATGGTAAAGAAAAAGAGAGAGATGCTAAAGAACAAGGCTAGATGGTAAAGAAAAAGAAAGAGATGGTAAGGAAGAAGGCTAGATGGTAAAGAAAAAAGTGAGAGATGGTAAGGAAGAAGGCTAGATGGTAAAGAAAAAGAGAAAGATGGTAAGGAACAAGGTGAGATGGTAAAGAAAAAGAGAGAGATGGTAAGGAACAAAGTAAGATTGTAAAGAAAAGAGAGAAATGGTAAAAACACAAAGAAAGATAGTAAAAAATCAAAGAGGGATGGTAAAGAGGCAAATATTGCTTAGTGTTTGTGGAGGTTTTAATTTTTATATGGCCTTGTTTAAGCTTCCACAAATTTATTGAAAAGCATTAAATGGAGAATACACAACAAAGATTTGTAAAATATAAACAATTTTTTCGTGCAGAATTTTTACAACAAAATTAAAAATGTTTGTCCTTGATAATAAATTCTTTGTGTGTTTAATATATATATATATATATGTATATATATAAATATTCAGTTGTATGGATATGATTTTGTGACCCTGGGTTTCATGCTTTTGCAATCATCAGAAAAAGCATGAAACCCAGGGTCACAAACTCATACCCATACAATTGAATATCTCAGTTCTATCACTGATATTGAGCACTTTCCAATACCGCTCATATCTAATATATATATATATAAAAAATATAAGTACATATATATATATATATATATATATATACTATAGTTCCAAAGTTTGAGGAAACCAAAGGTAATTTTTTTAAGTTGGCCCCAAATGTAGATGCTTTGTACTTTAAATAATAAAAAATTATTATACATGGTTGAAAAATATGTGACATTATTTTTTATTAGAAATTTGATTATGACAAAAAGTGTTATGGGGTGCTCCCCTTTTTCATATAAGTGGACTCAACCAGAGTGTTCCTTGGACTGCTGCCTTTAAATACCCACAGTCAGTCAGAATATAGAGAGAGAGTGAGCAGAGATTGTGATTGAGTTGGAGGTAGAGTAATAGTGTGAGGTAACCACTTGTAGAAGTCACAGTTACAAGCACATAGGCTCTAAGGAAGTCCTACTTCAAGACTGTATATATTATTATTGCTACTAACCACGTTCCTGGATTTACTAACAGTATTACCCATTGTATTATTGTGTAAATACATTTAATTTCTTATATTTAATTCTTGCATTTGTCATTCATTGGAGACCGAATTTCATCTCAGAATCCACAACAAAAAGAAAAAAGCATTTTATGATTAAATTTTGCTCTCGCCAAAATATCCTCTTTTAGCCTTGATTACTGCAGCACAAATTTTTGGCATTTGTTGTAAAGGTTTCTCAAATATAAGTTTGATAACTGATTCCATACTTTTTTCAATGACTCTAAGATCTCTTTTTCATTTTTGGGATGGAAAGTTTTCACTCTTCTTTTCTTTTAGGTTCATCCCATATTCATTCTGTTAGTGGCTTCAAACTTTTGAACTGTAGCATATATATATATGTGTGTGTGTGTTTTCTGAAGAAAGGAATCAACTTTTTATTAATCTGACAGATTTTTACTGATTAAACATTTGAACTATTTGAGTGGAGCACGTATTTGAGTAGATGCTCCGTTTATTTATTAAAAAGTATATTTATTTATTTTCATCTACCAGATTCTACTCAAATATGAGTATCTACTAAAGATAATGTTTGTGTAATAAAACTATGTCTGTATGTGAACATGTGTATGTGCTGCACCTTTTCTAAAAATATTTTCTCAGCAATTGTTCTGATGAGCACTCCTTTGATATCATTTTACTGTTAAAATTGCTAAGTATTAGCATAATTTCTATTCTAATGGTTTTTTTCCCTTGTACTTCTCACCACCTATGGAACTCTCTTCCAGCTTCTTGCTTTCCTGTTGTTGTATTATATTGTTCTATGACACATGATCAGTAGTCAACTTCTTGCCCGTCTCTTAGTTTCCGATGCACTTTTCTACTTAACATATTGTTATACTGTACCTATGGACTATAATAGACCTGTCTCAATCCATATAAATACAATAGAATATACTGCATGTGGAAGCATTTGGATTCACTCAGGTTTCACTTTGCTTCATTTCTAGCTCACCACTAGCTGTTAATTACTTACTATACACCACTGACAAATCTTGTATGTTGTTCCTGTTATAAATATTACTGTTCCACTTCCAACCTTTGTTTTGGTTATTCTAATTCAGTAACCTCAGTAACCTAGGTTACAATATTTTGGTGACAAGAACAACACATATGCAAATAGGTAGAATTCTATTTACCAATCCACTCCACCCAATCAACAATGATCTTCAAAAATTTAAATTTAACATCAGTCATCATCATCCGCTCCTTGAATTCTGTTCTTTTTATATTGTTCTTGTTCTTCAGCAACATTTTCTCAGTTTCCTTCACTCTCAGTAACTCCTTGTGCCTTAGTGGCTTTATCACCTTAGTTGAAGTGAAATGATTAAAAAAAAAGGAAAACAATTTTTTGTGAAAGGTAAAAATGAGATATGACATTCTATTGACATCTCCTCCTCCTCCTCCTCCTCCCCCTTTTGATGCTTATGGCCACATCATGTGGAAACACCAGTTCCCATATAATCACTAAAGTTAAGCATTATGGAACCTGGTAAGTACCCAGATGAGTGACCATTTGGGAAAACTATGTGCTGTAAGTTTGTTGTGCAGGTTGTGTAATTGCTAATGGCTTGGAATTGTTAATTGGAGAGCCATGTTCAAATGCCCATTAGGTTTTTTATATTTACTTACATGCAAATACCCTTGGGAAAGGTATGAATCCACTTTTTCTCCCCTTAGTTATGGATTAATCAGTAAAATTTTTAACACTTGACTAAACTATTATTATCTCCAAAAAATTCTTACAATCTAAATATATTTTCTACTTTTAAATAACCTGCAAAGGACTGATAAACATTAAAAGACAAAATCAATCAATTTTTTGATGTGTATCTTTTATATATAAAATACCTAAAAACTTTTACCTGATTTAGTGTGTAAATGATTTTTAAAAAAATAAATTTAATTTCTCCTTGTGTTATTTGAAAGGTATTAAAATTTAAATAATTATTATAGATGTTAGAAAGATGAAATTTGACATGATAATTTGTCTTGTTTTAAATGATGTGTAAATTTTATTTTTTACATAAAATATAAGCTGACTAAATTCTACATTATTTGGTTTCTTCTTTGTTGGTATTTTGAGTTTCACTAATAATATCTAATAAAAGTAATTTTCATTTTGTTTGTTTCGGTCAACTTATGAAATATGTTTTAATGATATATCTGTTATCATTTAATTTGTTTTATCAAATTTGAATTTATAAAATATATTTTCATAATTATTTATGATGCACACATGACAATCAGTACAGACAACTCATTCAGGTAAATGGAACTCAAAAGCCCAACAAGATAGTTCATCTATGTTATAAAATAAAATAAGACATATCTCGGCTGATTTACAGGCAAATAAACTAACATACTCAAGAGCGAGAGCCGGGTGTGAACGGGACAAGGCCCTGTCACAAAATGACCATTATCTTCGTTTATGCATGTTCCTGACGCACGAGTTCCAGTCAAAAAATAAAATAATATTTTAAAGTGTTTCTATTTTTTTGACCAATAAAAATGCTTCCCTCCTAATTATACTCGTGTTGTCTTTCGAGCCTGTTAAGCCATAAAAAAACGCCATAAAAGGGGGTCACACAGAAGTACACCAAAGAGTCAACAGGAGGCCAGGGAAGAGACCTGTCATGGTCAGGTTGAGCAGTCAGCAGCAGTAGCACCATGCCAACCAGCGAGAACTACTATGAGAGATCAACCCAGATCGGAAGCCAGCCTATGAACTATACCACAAGGTAGCTGTCCCAAAACCACATGTTCCTATTGAAATAAATCACGTAAATCTATTTCTACTGTTGTCGTATTTCTTTCTTGCAATCATACGCTTGTCTATAACATCTAGAAGGAAGAAAATTCTGATTTTAAACCTCCGCTTCCTTGTGGTCATCTACAAAAACACGGAAAAAGTTATTGAAGTAAATTTGAAGTAAATCCAGACAGAAAACCTAGAGTAGAGCCCTGAAGGCAGTTGGCTGTCAACACTGACAACTTTCTGTCAACTCCTGTAGCCATGCCACCTCCAAATATAATGCTCTGTATTCCTTTGAATCTTGTTAATATGACCCAGAGGGGGCCATATAGTCTTTGCAGCACACAGCCTCCATATACCATCACCCAAGCTTGCACCCTGCAGAGGTCACACCAGTTTCCCCACCAAAGATGGCTCTACCTCTATCTTACAAGATAAAGGGATGCCTATTACTAGAAGTTAAAAGGGATGGAAGATGTAGAGAGCCATAATCACCCACGTCCTGAACGGTCAAGAGACATGAAATAAGAAGGTATTTGATGAAAAAATTATAAGGAGAAAGTATTTTGTGTTGCCCAGGAAACAACTTTAACAAAATATATATAAAAAAATGTTACTAAAAATTAAATTTCTTAAACCTTAACTGTAACCATTAAGCCCTAAGCGTAAATCATTTGACAAGGTGTGACTTAGAGGATTACTGCACAAGCTTTCAATGCATGGAATCACTGAAAGTGTCTTCCCAATTATCAAGACCTTCCTAAAGGATGGGTCCATGAAATTGTAAAGACATGGTTTATACATAAAACTAATTTTACTTTCTAAGTGTGTTAGTTGAAAGGTATTAGAATTTAAATAGCTTAATTATAGATGTTAGAAGGATGAAACTTTGCAACCTGATAATTTGATATAAGTTTTAAACGAGGTATAAATTTGACCTTTTTATATAAATTATAAGCTGACAAAATTCTATTTTATTCTTAGTTATTCAACTTATAAAATATGTTTTAATGCTGTGTCTGTTATAACTTAAGTGTATAAAGTTTGTTTTATCAAATTTTAATTCATATAGATTTTCATAGTTATTTATGATGCACATATAATAATCAATATGGGCTACAAAGGAGCGTAAGTTGTATAGAGCCATGATCATGTAGATTCTGAAGGGTCAGAGCACATAAAATAAGAGGGACTTTGATGGAAAAATGATAAAAGGAAAGTATTTTATCCTGAACTAGAAACAACTTTGGCAAAATATATATATATAAAGAAATTACTAGAAATTACATTCCTTGAACACTAACTGTAACCATAAAGCCCTAGCTGTAACTATAGTGATATGTAAATGAATGCCTAATTAGCATAGTTAAGGTATTGGAAAATAAAAATATAATGTTTCAAAAAAACAAATAATAACTCTCTGTAGCCATCTATATCTTTTTTTTTATTTTTATCTTTTTTACTAACATTCACTCAAGGCCCAAGAGCCAGTCAAGGTAGAAGGTTACTGAATGTGGTCTATGATATGGATGTAAGAGGTGGAAGTAAGGAGTGAAGAATATGGGGGACAGATAATGACTGACCATAGACTTAAAGAGGTTAAAATTCATGGAAGCATACATGCAGAAGTCTGTTCTGTAAAGTAGTAGTTCTTGGGAAGAAGCTTTTGGTGTGGAACACCCTATTTACCAGAGGAATACAAACAGAATGAGGATGATTTGATCTTATGTAAGCGGCATGGCAGTTCTTAGCTGTAAAGGTCTGAACTGGAGGAACTAAGGAATGTAATTCATTTGAATATTTGTCATGGCTGGTAACATTTTATCTATGGGAAAGAGGCTGGAGGATTTAAAATAATTAATCACCCAAAAGGCCATATATATGCTTTTAACTCTGATTAATTGTTTTTAAAAATCTTGTGTTATTTTAATACAGTAATTTTAGAAAACATTAATCTCCATTTATTTTAAATATAAAATAAAACCATTAATCCATGTTTATTTTAAACATAAAATATAAATCCCATCTATTTTCAGTAGAATTTTTTTAAAACCCTTATAATATATGGACTGCACTGACATTTCATTAACCAGACATGGCTGTGTAAATGATTTTGAGCTCTGTCAAGGATGCAAAGTGAGGATTGTGCAGCTTCAGCCCAGATATGACGGCAATACTTCATTTTTGGTTTAATCTTACTCTTGTATAGATAAAGCATGTCAGGAGGAGTCTGTTACTTTCTGCAGCAATACAAGGAGCCAACCATACAATCTGTTGCTAAAGATGCTGGAAAAAAATAGTTGGCTCCTTGTAGCACCCCAAAAAGAATTGGACTCCTCCTTCCATGCTTTATCTTTTCTACTTGAGGTCTGGGGTGAACTGAATCCCATTAAATGAGTATTTCCCATTATAGGTACTAGTGCCCCCTTGTTGGCTCTGTTATATTGAAAGGTGAGTTTTTATTTTATTTGGGGAGCAGTGAACATAGTGAGCATTTTTACATTTTTTTTTTTTAATTTTCAAAAAAATTCTGTATTGGCTGCAAAAAGAATTTTCTGAAAGGTATCTAAAGTTGTGAGAAGTTATCAAACTTTTCTTCATTGCTTTTCCAACTGCCTAATGGCTGAATGTGATTACAACACAGTTACACAGCTTCTTACTAAACAAAGAAACTGCCTGCAAATTACAAAATGAGATCTGCGGTTACTTCTAAGCAGTATGGAACCTAGAGCAAGAGCCTTAGCCAGTAAGGACCAAAGTCAATCATCACACTGAAAACATTGAGATAAGCTATCAAATGAACTTAAAGTAAGAAACTTAAACAGTAAGCACCAAAGTCAATCATCGAAAATCATGGAAAACATTGAGATAAGCTATCAAATAATTTTTTTCTTTTTAGCATTGTCATTTATAATAGAAATGAAAACAATATTAAAATTGTTTTTGCACTAATACCTAAGTGTTATCTTGCTATGAAAGATGAATTCAGTATAATATTCAAAATTTTAATTTGACAGGGAGACGTTGACAAAAAAATTTGTGCCCTAAAGGGGCACTGTTTGAAAAAGATGGGGAAACACTGCATTAGACAATCAAAGTCAGTGTAAAAGTTTAGTTCTTCTAGTTAGTTTTGGATTGTCACTGGATCTAGGAGATAACTGATATCCATTAAACATGGCACATGGAACTAGAACAGTCTACCCCAGTGAGCGAAATAAAGGGTTCAGTTCAACATTCCGACCACCTGAAGAAAGCCGGAGCATACAATGGCCAAAACGTTGTAATAAATATAGCAACAAAGATGAGGACAATAGTCTGAATAATGTAAATAGTGATAAAACTCTGTAATATACATTTTCATATCAAATGAAAAAAAATGTTTATTGTTCATATTAAATCAAAAAGGCATCTTTTGGTGGCACACAAAAACGGGTGATCAGTTATTTTTGAACTAATCAGAACCAAGTTCCTCAGGCCATTTTGAAAACCCTATTTTAAATATATAGATAACAGATCTGATTTACTTTAACTCTTATAGTGACAATAGTCCTGAGTGCCAGTGTGTATGGTGAATTCTCTACATACCATCTCCATTATTCAACACTTCTCACTAAGGAATCACTTGATACATCACACTTCATAATGATGCAAATATTAACTCCATGAAGCAACCAACTGTTCAAGTATCCTTTAATATACAACTTATAGAATATTCACCAAAAAAACAAGAACTCACATGAACTTAAAGTGCAATTTACTAAATAAATTTAATAATCACTCATC